AATGTATTTCAGTTCACCAAACTCAATAGGCCTTTACTGGACTCTATGGGGGCATGCCTGCTGCTTGCCCCTGGCCTGGGCGATGGAAACCCAGGGAAGGTGGGGATGTCTTCCTGGTCATGCACAGCCTGGGACTGGGTCAGGAAGCACACAACGTTCTATTGAACGTACTGTTTTGTTAGAAGGGGTCCCTTTGCCCTGTTTTTGATGACTAGTGTTTTTTAGTGGTGGTAGGCGGGGAGGTGTGTCTACTGACATTTGAGGCAGCACAACTCCTCAGTGTGGGGGGGTTATGGAAGGGGTGTCTCGGTAGTTTCAGGATTTATCAACCCTGCTGCTAAGTACCAGGTGGTAAAGGAATCCCCCAGCCCCTCACTGCAGCAACCTCAGGAATACCCCGTCCGAACATTTTCCTTCCAGGACAGTGTTGCTTGACCAAGGTCTGCTGGAGCCTAGAAACTGCTCTTCCATGCTTGGACACCAGATCCAGAAGTGAGAGGCCAGAGTGGACAGCAGGTATGATGTGGAATGCATGGTTCGGGCAAAGGTGGGGGGGCATACAGTGAATGCTGTTCGCCCCCCATCAGAGGGTAATGCAGAGAGGTGTCCAGAGGAGCCCTTGAGAATTTCGCCCGTCTCTGTTGCGGCACCCAGAGGACCAGTGTCTCCCTCAGAGAACTGGAGCCCAGGTAAGGAAATCTCAAGGCTGCAAAGGACCAGGCATCTGGGAGGCACTGCTGGATTGGGGGCTCCCCTCTGCCCACGCTTTTGGGTCAGGAAGGTACTCCTGTGGCTTCCACAGTGCATGTTGGACCCTCATCCCCAAGCCCGTCTGAGGAAGGAAGGAGGGCCTGTGGTTACCAGCTGAGCATGGTAAGCACACAGGCCTGTGTACTCAGGGGCAGATGGAATCCCATCCAATCCCTTCCCAGCTCCAGGATAAAGGTGCAAATTCAAAGACAGGGACAATTGGAAGGGTGCTTTGATCCCAATCCAAATGTCACACGAGTTTATACAGGTTTTCAAAGACTTACCCCAGCTTTAGAGTACTTACCCTACTCTGCTGCACTGTGCTCCATGCAAGCCGCTTCAGGGCAGTGCTGTTGGTTTACTAAGATGGTGGCAGCACAGCGCCTGGCAACAACTCAGGTTTTCATATCACTACCCCCTTCCCATTGCAGGCATTCGGGCCTCATCCATCTCCATTTACAGGAGCACGACATGTGCTGTCAACTTGGCATTGTCTGCCCAGCTGAAAAACACAACGTGTAATTTATTGTGATTGGTACTCACAGAATGGAATAGGAGAAAAACAAATTCACCATCCGTGGAGAACCTGCATGGAAACTGCCACCCTCGTGGCAACCAAAAGATCAGCTCCCAAGAGACCAGAGTGGATAGAGGTGAGGAGTACAAGAATCTGCGGTGAGCTCCCCTTGTAGGATGGGGCTTCCAGATTTTCTAAGGAAGACAGAAGTGACTGAGTAAAGGCTCTTGGGGAGGGGATGTGGATGGGCCTCAGGAATCTTTGGGGCAGAAAAGGTGCTGTGTGCAGCTGTCTCAGGCACACAGCAGTGAGCTGGAGAGAACCATCAGGGCCAGATGGACTATGCACTTAACATGGCAGGTGGCTCAGAGGAGTCCTACTGGGGTCAAGACTAGACTGAGGCAGCGGGTCAGCTTGGGTTGCTTTAACCAAATACACCATGAACGAGGTGGCTTAAACTGCATTTATTTCTTTAGCTGGGAAACTAAAGTTCAAAACCCGAAGCTGGGCAGATTTCTTTCTGGTGAAGTACTCCTTTGTGAGATACAGGTAGTCACCTGCTTCCTGTGTTTCCCCTGACCCAGAGAGGAAGTCGTGGTTTTTCTTGCTCTGATCGCATTGTGGGGGCTGCATCCACAGGACCTCACCTAAGCCTGACTACCTCCCACAGCGCTGTCCCCCAACAACATCACACAGCATCACATCCTCCAACCTAGGACTTGTTAATCGGGATACAAAAGACATTTCATCCCACTTGGAAATGACCCTGAGTGCCGATGACAGACCCTCAGTTGGCTTCTCTCTGAACGTCACCTTTTCCAACATCAACATTTGTTCAAGAATAGAGATCCAGTCTACGCTATCTCCAGCGTTCCAGGGCATGAAGTGAGGGTGCAGAGCGGGAGGAAAAACCCTTAGCTCTAGCAGATCGATGAGGGCGTTCTAGTGAGTGTGCCTATGCGTGTCTTGTTCCAAAAAGGATTTAAGCTGGCTTGCCATGATAAAAAACATTAGCAGTCGATAAGAGAGATGAAGTAACAGGACAAAAGATGGGGCCAAGCCTTAAAATAGAAGGTGAATTAAATCCACTTGGCTTAAGTAGGGAACTGTGCCATATTTTCTGGGAAGCTGATTCGGGTCCCTCTCGCTTCTAAATTCAGAGTTAAGTAGTGCTGGTCTCAGTGTAAAGCCCTGCATTTTGATGAGTTCCTTTTATGTTCCTCTTTTGTTTGGTTCCCTGACCTAGAATCCTCGTTTCAATAAGGAAAGCAAGTTCCATCACCGCCAGCTGAGTTTCCTTGTGACTGTCTTCCTCCCTGGAACTTTTGGTGGGGAACTTGGCAATCACACCAGCAGCATAGGAAGTCCAAGGCTAAGAAAGAACTGGACAGCCTGAACAATACAGGAAGGGCACGTTTCAAAAAAGAAAACTCACTCTACCCCCAGCATCCAATGGCTCTGGATCGATCCTTTTTCAGAACAGAATAAAACTTGGCCAGCATCCTGCCCTAGAGATGAAACGGTCATAAAACAAGGCAGGATGATTGGGACAAATGACTTAGGTATGCAGGCCCAGGGAAACGGAGCGGCATTTTATTTGATTCTGTGATATTTTTATTTGGGGAACAAAAGGTATGTTTCTTTTTCAAGCCCAAGGATTGTTTGCCAAGATTGTCTCTATTTAAATGTTCTGCATTAATAAGCAACATTTTGAATCTCGGGCATAACCGCCATTTTTATCCTCAGGAGTTCAAAACCAAAGCAAATCAAACAGCAAGAGAGTTGAGGGAGAAGCTACACAAATGGTACATCGATTCCATCCAGAGGCTTCTATCCTCCCTGGGGTCAGGCCCAATGTCTTAGCCATAGACCAAGAGCATATGTTGCATTTTCTTCTAACTCAGGATCTCAGTTTTTCTCTAGAAGCTTCCCTGCAGGGACTCTCAGCATTAGTTACAAATCTGACTGGGAATCAATGCAAATTTTCATTATATGCAGTTTCCACAAACTTTTGTATGTTTGCTTGTTTTATGGCTTTTAAAAAGAGATTTATCTTTATTAGAAAGTCAGATTGACAGAGAGAAAGGTCTTCCATCTGCTGATTCACTTCCCAAGTGGTTACAACGGTCGGAGCTGAGTTGATCCAAAGCTAGCAGCCTGAAACTTTTCTTAGTTCTCTCACACAAGTGCAGGGTCCCAAGGCTGTGGGCCGTCCTCCACTGCTATCCCAGGTGACAAGCAGGGAGCTGGACGGCAAGTGGGGCAGCCAAAATATGAACTGGTGTCCATATGGGATCCTGTTGTGTGCAAGGCAAAGACTTTAGCTACTAGGCTATCATGCTGGGCCCTATTTGTTTGTTTTAAAAGTTTATTTAATATTTGAAAGTCAGTTTTACAGAGAGAGAGAGGAGAATCTTCCATCCACTGGTTCACTACCTTAGATGGCCACAAAGGCCAGTGTTAGGCCAGCACGAAACCAAGAGCCAGGTCTTTCTTTCACGTGGGTGTTAGGGACCCAAACACTTGGGCCATCTTTCACGGCTTTTCTAGGCCATTAGCAGGAAACTGGATAAAAGTGGAGCAGTTGGGATTGTGATCAGTTACCAGATGGGATGCTGACATCAGAGGCAGCAGCTTAATCTACTATGCCACAACACCAGCCCCTTTCCATGCAAAATTTGAAGACATCACATATATATGAACCTTTTTTGTTTTGCATCGGGCCTCAGACAATGGCTCAACTGACTAAATCCTCATCTTGCAGGTGCCTGGATCCCATATGGGCACCAGTTCATGTCCCAGCTGCTTCACCTCCCATTCAGCTCCCTGCCTGGGAGAGCAGTGGAGGACAACCCAAAGCCTTGGGACCCTGAATTGCATGTGAGACCCAGAAGAAGTTCCTGGCTCCTGGCTTTGGATCAGCTCAGCTCTGGCCATCGCAGCCTTTTGGGAGTGAACCAATGGATGGAAGATCTTTCTCTCTGTCTTTCCTTCTCTTTGTGTAAAAAAAAAAAAAAAAAAAAAAAAAAAAATCTGTTTTCCAATGAAAATAAATAAATCTTTAAAAAATTTTTGCATCAAAATAAATATATATTTAAAATTTTTTGCCTAATAACATATCTAATTTTTCAGAAACTCTTTTAAGTACATTTAAAGCTTAAAAAATATTATAACTGCAAAAAAAACCACCCCTAAATGCTACTACCTGGGAAGAATTACTACAAAGATGGGAAGGATTTTCTCCCAAATTGTTTCTGGAATATCAAGAGCTTTTTGCCATGCTGTGAGACAGCTTTTTAAAGTCACGATTAAAGCTATAATTACAGTTGATTGTTTGGATCTACTCTGCCCATGCATCTGTTACTAGACGTAAGACTCTTCCTAGTTATTACTTTGCCATGGTAAGTACCTGGCTTGTTAACTTTGTACCTAGCGCTTTGTTCACATTTCTGAAAATCTCCTCAAGATATCCGAGTAGGACAGTACAGGGCCGTGGGAGACGCCCTTGGCAATTCTGGAGTGCTGATAGCAAACTGCTCAAAGCGGATATAATTATATATATATATATATATACATATATATATATATATATATCCAGGTATATAACTATATAATAACCAGGTATATGTTAAGGGGCTGTCCACTGCTTGGATTTTGATAACAGCCAAAAGTGATGGGAAAAAATGGCTTCATAAGATAGTTAGAAATTCCTGCATTCATACTGGAAAGCTGATCAGGAAAAAACTCAGCTTCTCCCTATTGTAATTATGATACAAATCATTATACTTGTCTTAATCAAGATACAGCTGTGAAGAGCTCAAAAATTCTAGAATTTAAATCTAGGGTAGAAAGTGGAGAGAATCTTAGAGAAATCACGTGTCAGCTTGAGGATGGTGATGTTGAAGTCCAGGGAAGTCGCAGAGCTGGTTCTGACATCCACCACTCTTGAGTCCTAGCCATACTAGACATTTCTCTGAAGAGACTTAAAGGTTAGAATAGTACACAGCAATAATAATGTGATCCTTTTAAGTGTTTCCTACCAGGGATATCCGGAACTCAGGTACCAAGAGATGGCTCCCTCAGCACTATCCATTAATTGGTTAACTAGGAGACCAGGAGCTTACATAGAGGATGCTACAGTTATGTGCGTCTCCAACAGGAACAGGTGAAAACGAAGGTGCTCACCACAAAAACGGGAGAAAAACAAGCATCGGCCGCTTTCTGGAGCTTTTGACCTAGTGATCCAAGTTTGGATTTAACGTCCCTTCTCAGGACTTCTGGAATGAGTAAGCAGTGGGAAGTAGAGAGAGAGGGCTATAAATCAGACTCAGCTGGACAATTTTACACACTTGGCTGACGGCTTGAATTCATGTCCCCAGTGATCCACTGTTCACTTATGGCGGGCCCTGTGGCAGCCACCTGAAGGCTGCCTCAAATCCACTTCCCACTCTGCCTGCACGCATCACAAAGATCCTTGCCAGTGTGAGGAGCTGCGGGCAGCACTGGGGCGCGCTCAGCACTGGAACAGAATTCCATGACTGGCTGTGAGGGCTGTTCTTATCAGGGACTCGTAATCAGAGTATGAAGTCTCCTCTTTCATGGTAGAGTAATTTTGTTTGCTTTTTCTTTTGCTTTCTCTTTTAGATGAAGTGAGTTCCTGGGCAAGATGAGTGCCATTGGAGGCAGAAATCTTGCCAGTAAAAAACAAAACCGAACAACAACAAACTGCTTCATCATACACACGCCCCACACAAGTTATCCCACTTCAATAGGATCCAGCAACCAACCTGAACCCTGCTGCTCACAGCTGCCCCAGGCATGTGCAAGGAGAGCTTCCAGAGAGGTCCGCTCCCTTCAAGTCTTCCCCCGCCACCAGTGCTCCGTAAAAAGCAGCTGTGCCCTGTGCTATCCTCAATGATTTAGATGGAGGTAACCTGGAAGGAAGTGAGACTCCTACTCTGTTAGATTCTGTGGGTGAGGAGGCCTGGAAGCTGGGAGAGGCCCGGTAACAGCAATCAAATCACAAGGGGGACTCAGGGAGATAGAGGGTCTTGCCCAGAGACAGCCGGTGACATAGGAGACAGAGCTGGGAACTGGATGAATCTGTGGCTGGCAGTCTCAGCTCTCTTCCTTTTGATGCATGCAGTGTCTGATTGTAGAGCTGGAGCTTGTTCTGCAGTTTGCCGCTACAGTGGCACTATGTATTTGTGGGAGTTGGCTGTGGGAGCTCAGAGATGGAGGAGGAAGATGTCCAAGTCTCTCGCCCAAGCTCACACCCCCTGCCCCCATGCATCCTGCATCCAGGATTTATCACTTTATCTCTCAACAGATCTTTATTGTGTCCCTCCTGTATGTGCTGCATGGTTCCAGCACTGGGAGTTACAGGAAGGGAGAAAATAGAAACTAACTTCTGCTCTTGCCTTCCCTTCTAGTAGGGAAACAGATAATAAAATAAGTGAATTACAGAGCAGGTTAGAAAACAGCAAGCAGGGAAGAGGCAGGGCGGGAGGAAAGGAAGGGAGAGGGCTGGTGTCTTGAGTTGGGCTGCCAAAATGGGAGCACACCCAGGGGTTTAGGCGATGGATGTACTTACTACTACTCATATGGAATTGATCACCACTTAAAAAGTACATTCAGCAAATATCACACTACACCCCCACAAACAAGCACAAATGCTACATATCATTCAGAACAAAATAAATACACATGAGCTGCATGGCAAGGCACATTGGAAGGGAAGAGAAAACAATGCAGTCGTTTTTGTAGGGGCAGTGGAAGTCCCTAGAAATGAGGTAAGGACTTGTAAAAAAGATTTATTTGAAGTCAGAGTTAGACAAAGAGAGCGTAAGATAGAGCGAGCGAGAGAGATGATAGCCAGATCCTCAGTTTGCTGGTTCACTCCCCAGCTGGTCACAAAAGCCAAAGGAGCCAGACGGAGGCCAGGATCCAGAAACCTCCTTCCTGGTCTCCCACATGGGTACTGGGGTTCAAACACCTGAATATCTCCCACTGCTTTCCTAGGCATGTCATCAAGGAGCTGGATCAGAAATGGAGCAGCTGGAATTCCAACTGAGATGCATGGGTTGCCAGTGTTGCAAACAGTAGCTTAACATGCTGGGCCACAACTCCAGCTCTTGTGGTAAGGCATTGAACTGCAGATTTGGTTTTGCAATTGGAAAACAGGGATAAATGTTTTGATCTTTTATAATAAAGCATGATTTTTAAAAATAGAGTGGCCAGAGAAAGCGCCCTTCGTAGGGTGACATTTGAGCACAATCTTAGATCTGCAATGTTTAAATAGACACCTTGACCTTCTGCCTCTTGTAAAGTACCAATAGCCATAATCAGGATGGACAAGGCTGCTAGAACTGTTTACTCTGCATCCTTCTAAGTTCTTTAAGTGTGTGATACTCAACTAATCCCCTAGCTCTATGAAGCGAGTGCTGTTTGTTGGCCCATTTTACAGAGTAGAAAACAGACATAAACAAGTGCAGTGAGTCTGAGGCCATGCAGTTAGCAACCCAGGTTGCTGCCAGAGCCCTCCATTATCTCTGACTCCACCCACACCCCCCAAAAAAAAGCCCATGTGAAAACCCAGGGTACGTGTTTCCCAGCTGAGTGTGGCTGTGACACATGAAGGATGGCAGAGCTTCCATTTTTCTGTCTCCAGAACTGGGTGACTAAATGCTGTCCAACCATCTGTCAGCCATAAAGCATCCATTCTGGAGACTGTGGTGCTAGGTGAAAAGCCGGGCCTGGGGAACATATCAGTCCTTTTGCTGAAACATATTTAAGGCTAAACAGGAGGAGAAGGTAGAGTGAGAAGCCCATTTCCGGGGAGGTCAGAGAGCAGCAGACCCGGGGTGGGGAAGCAAGAAGCAAGGAGTGTGTGACTTGGAAGGGACCAGCAGGAAGGACAAGGGACAGTATGGCTACAGACTGGGATCCTGCAAATCTCCTACGAGCTTGCTAATCAGTAACTGCCCCATTCTGAAGTCATTCCCGGAGCCGCAGAGATGTGGGAGCGGGAACGTGCCCCCACTCCCGGCGCTCTGTCCTGGCTTGGGGTTATGCTGGGTCATCTAAGTCATCAGCAAACCCCAGGAGAACCTGCAGTCAGTTTTTGGATCCAGGCTGAGCTGACTTCCTGCTTTTTGCCTCTGGACACGCGTCACACAGGCCAGGTGGGAAACCACAGCAGACAGCAAGACAGTCTGACAACGGGGAAAAGGATGAACTGGGAGGAGGGAGACCCATTTGTTCTGTAATTTACCCGGAATGTGGGACTTCGTGTCTGGCTTCCTTTATCCTGGTTTCCTTGTCCATAAATGGATAATAGAATCCTTCTGCCATCGTTCCAGCTATTACAGGATGAAGTGAGCTGGGTAGACTGCTGGGCCTCTTGGGAGCCTCTCACTGCTTCCACATGCCTCTTCTGTCCTTCAGCTCTGAGTGTTTTGCTTGCAAAGCACCCTGATTTGCAAAAGCTTGTTGGGGCTACGGACAAAGCTGCTTTTCCTGCAAACAAAGATCCAGAAGATTGTGAGAGCTCAAAACTTCTTCTGGACCCCAGGGGTCTTCAGCCAACCACAGCCCCCTTTGTCTAAAGTGGGGAGATGGAATATAATTCCCACTGCAGGGGCACTAGGACTATACCTGCAATCACACCTTTGCTTGACCTCTTCCCTCCAATCCTCGTCCTGTCCCACCCAGTCACCCCTCTCTCCTCAGTTTCTGCAAATGTAACCCTAGGCAATGTACAAAGTCATTGTCAGAATCTGCCAGCTGGAGGTATTTACTATTGGAGATGTCGTTGAACAGATAGGAAACATCTTACAGCTCTGAATTCTCGGGCTCAGGACCCGACATGGAGCCAAAAAGAAGCCCGAAGCAGCAGTCAGCTCCTGTGGTCACCACAGCCCAGCAGAGCAGGCTCCTCCATGACCAAGTCCACCGGGAGCTGTCATCTTTCCGAGCCTCTGGGGGCCTCCATGGGTTCGGCCAGCTCAGCCTGCACTGTACTCCACCCTGGGTTGCCAGTGTATTCCCACGGCACTCCCTGCATGACCTTTCTCAGGGCTCTGGGAGTGAGGTGAAGTCCCGAGTGTCGGACAAGGGCCTGTGCTACATGCAGCTGAGAGCTGCCGGAGGAAGGCACAGGCTTTCGGACACTGTCAAAGGGACAAACCATGAACCCGGATTTTGGATGAGCAAAAAATAGAAACGGAAGCCATTTCATTGTCTCATCAGATTCAGTATTTTGAACAAGGAACACACACAGGCCTGACTCCATCAGCCCTCCAGATGTGGTTGGGTTTCTATCTCGACAAATCACCACATTCCAGGGACACCCGTGGTGCAGCGAGCCTAGGGAGGGGTGGGCCCATTGATGTGCTCGAATCTCAGGATACAAAATGAAGTCAATTTAGATACATTAACAACCAGATTTACCTAACAGGAACCAGCAGCCTTGCTTTTCTGATAACTGAGTTCTTCACGCTCTATCAAGAAATCACTCTCAAGTCTGCACACTTGGGCATGCAAATCTTCCATCAGTCAGTGTGGACATACAGGCCCTTAGACTTCAGTAAGACAGGGAAACCTTGGCCGGTGTAGCGGCTTAATAGTCTAATCCTCCACCTGCAAGCGCTAGCATCCCCATGGGTGCCAGTTCATGTCTCAGCTGATCTAGCTCTCAACTTATGGCCTGGTAAAACAGTGGAGGATGGCCCCAAGCGTTGGTGCCCTGTACCCATGTGGGAAACCTGGAAGAGACTCTTGGCTCCTGGCTTTGGATCAGCTCAGCTCTGGCCATTGTGGCCATTTGCAAAGTTAGCCAGTAAATGAAAGGTCTTCTGCTCTGTCTCTCCTCTCCGTACACCTGCCTTTCCAATAAAAATAAAAAAATAAAACAGGGTAGCCATACTCTGGTCTGGATCCACTTGAGTCCTGCAGAAGCTATAGGAGCAGGGGTGGAGAGCAGACCCTAGAGACGCTTGGATAGGGAAGCTAGACAGTAGTTTAGTTGTCCCAAATCCTGGCTGGACATGTGTGTAGAATCTGCAGGAGCACAATCACAAAGGGGCACGGTGCCATAGCCTAGTGGTTGAAGTCCTCACCTTGCATGAGCCAGGATCCCATATGGGTGCCGATTCATATCCCGGTTGCTCTACTTCCCATCCAGCTTCCTGTTTGTAGTCTGGGAAAGCAGTAGAGGATGGCCCAAAGCCTTAGGACCCTGTGCCTGCATGGGAGACCTGGAAGAAGCTCCTGGCTCCTGATTTCAGAGTGGTTCAGCTCTGACCATTGCAGCCATTTGGGGAATAGACCGGCGAATGGAGAATTTTTTCTGTTTCTCCTTCTCTCTGTAAATCTGACTTTCCAATAAAAGTAAATAAACCTTGCCCCCACCCCCCGCAAAAAAAAAAAAAAGAAATAGAAAAGAAAAGAAAAGAAATCACCAGGTGCATCACCCAGGCCAGCCCAGGTGGCATCCAGGCCTGTGCACTAAGGAGCCCATCGAAGACAGGCTTGGAGTAAGTGAGGGTGAGCGAGCTTACAGGGGGCAGCAGAGTATGGGACCTGGCAGACACTGCTGCTGCAAGAAGTCATCCCTGAAGCCCAGAAGGAAGCTCAGATGCCAGCCTTGGCAGCGGTCAGTTGGCAGGGCTGGAAGCAGAGAGCACAGGTGGGGAGCACAGGTGGGGAGCACCTTGGATCCCTGCTGGAAGCAAACCTTTCTGGAAGAGCAAGACAGAGAGTGAGCGGACCCACACTCAGACTCAGCTCCCCTGTCTTCCAATCCAACAGCTCCGTTAAAGGAAAGGCCAGGAAATCCCGACCCTCACAGAAAAATACCCCTGTTCCCTGCCAGCCTCCCTTAAGGGGTCAGAAAGCGTCATGTGGATCCTGCCGGGAGGAGGAGGGCAGAGGCAACGGGCTGGATGTACATGGAACATCTGCGGACAATGAACCCGGAAAAGAGTGCCAAACACTCAGCGTGGGCAAACTAAATCAACACCAAGCCTTGCCCATTACAGAGAAGTCAAAAAAGCACAACCAACCTACACAAGCAGATGTCACAAGCTCTAGGTTCTGCTGGA